TATATATATATTAGGGCTTTAACAGACTACTCAAGTAATCTACACATCGAGTCCTAGAACATCCATCGAGTTTTTAAATTTCCCGTTGAACTGGTGTTACACCATATTCTGTGACCACCGTATATTGTAACCATAAGGGGCGGTGTTGCATGCACTGTTGCAGGTCACAGAATATGGTGTAACACCGGGTCCAATGACCGAACCAGAACCAGCTTCCTCTGACCTTGTTTCACAAACAAAAAGTAAAAAATATTAATCTCTAAACCTATGAAAAACCTATAAACATATTGATCTCTAAAACTAAACCTAATGCGCAGCACAGCTGGCGGTGGTGTGGGGTGGTCATCCGCTCCACTGTTTTTAGTTTCGTTTTTGACGTGCCGCACGTTTTTCACTTTTGCAGCTTAACAATAATAACTACTAGTTTAGTTTTTCCTGTGACTTATTTGCAGTATGATAAATGGTAGGAGCATAATATATGCTCCCAATGTTTTGTTAGTCTTTTTTTGTAAATAATGACCTGTTTTGCAGTTTTATTTATTTATTTATTTTTGCATCTTCAGATCCTATGATCCCCGTGACCCAAAATGGAATATGCGGGTAAAGATAATGGATGGATGGATGGATTGAGATCCTATGATGTCATCGAGCACTCGAGTTCTACTAGAGTTTTATTATGTTAATGTCGAGTTTAAAAATTATGTAGTCGTTCAACCCCTAATATATATATATATATATATATATATATATATATATATATATATATATTTGTGTGTGTGTGTGTGTAGAATTTTTTTTATTATTTTTTGCTTTTGTTTGAAGATTTTCTGATCTTGTTTACAGAAAACTTGCGGTTTTCCTTGTTCTCTCCACAAGCTTTCTTGGTCTGCCATATTTTAATTTGACCTCAAGTATTCTTGAACACATTTTGTAATTAAATTACACTGAAAGAATTGACAACAGAACCTAACAGTAGTACGTATGCTTTTGTCTTGTTTTGTGACCATGAATCATTTTGATCTTTGTGCTGCTACTCTGCTGCTCAAAACACCCTGTTTTTAACCATGTCATTGATGAGCCTGGGTATAAACATTATCCAATAAAGTAAACTTCCATAGGTTCCCAAGTTTTATTATATTATGCTCTTCATTTATTATTTTATTTTATGTATAACTGCACAAATAAAAAATCTTAAACAAATCTTGGTGTCATGTTAAATCATGCTGTTAAGCTAAAATTCTCACTGTTGGACATGCGATCTGATCTATAGTGACAAAGAATTAATGAATTTACTTACCTTTGCTGCTGAGAGACAATGATCATTATGATGAGTATGAGGATACCCACGATCCCAAAAGTAAGAACCAGAGTGAGTGGGACAGCAGAATCTAAAAACAAAATAAAATACAACTTCATTTTTCAGATTTAAACTATTTCTTTTGCCTGAACTGGAACAGGTAACATCGCCACAACTCACTAACGTCCTTTTCATAAATCACATCCAAAGATGGCATCAGTAAGCCTTTATCTGGCATATAATTTGTGCTATATATGATACCACACATATAGAATGAGAGGTCAAAGTTGATGCACAGATGATGTGCATCAGTGGTAGTCACAGAGTTGAATTAGTGTGCAGCGTGTGCATCTTGCCACTGTAACCATTAATACAGCTAATTCAAATTCCAGCATGTTGGGTGCATACTCCTATTGATAAGATGCTGAACTGCTTGTCTGGTGTGTGTGACATACCATACCAAAAGCAGACGAACAATACCTCAAAAAGAACATGTTTTTATATCAGTTGACATGTAACTAAAGCCACTTTCCTTACCTTTGTGGGGAATCTCTGCCATTTTAATGAAGATAGAGTCACTGAACTCGCCAAATTTAACAAAGCCCTTCATCTTGGTGTGAATGTGCACTTCATATTCTTTTCCAGTGTGCAGACCATAGATTGTCTGCTGGGTGTGCGACTGCTTCTCCAACTGAAAGCGACAGGGTTATAAAATAGCATTGAATGAAAAAAGCTGCATTTTAAATAAGCATTCAGCTACTCTAATAAAAGCAGCTGCAAAGTAAACATTAAAGCTGTCTGAAAGTATAAAGGAATTCAAGTGGTCCGTGTTTATTTTTGGTACCGTTAACTATGACCTTTCCAAAGGTGGTACAACTGTTGGTGTATTTCAAATTTACAAGGTAGAAAACATGTTGTTATGACAGAGGGATCTGGAACTATTTAAAGGACTGCATTTGTCGGGCGGGGTGGCCAGGCTGTACTAAATGAGTCTGTACAAGGTCCCATGGCCTCTGACCTACAGATCACTCCCTGCATTTCCTTCAGCGGGGCTCTGTTTTCTCAGAGGCTCTCAACCTCGCCAACTGAGCTACATTACATTTCAGCCACGATGAGCTCAGGTAGAGAGGTTAGGTGGCAAGAAGAAAGAAAACTCAACAATCTGTCTCTCTGACCTACTAACAATTTACTTTTAAAAGTGAATAAAAGTGTTTTCATTGGTATTAGCTTATCGGTGTGCAAAGATGAAATTGGTACAGTTTCAAAGCAGTTGTCTTATAGAAAAAAGTGGAGAAAGGACTCACTGCTTCCCAAGTTGTGGCGTTTCTTTCTCTGTACTGGATTTCATACTCGATGCGCATCCAGCCCATGCTAACGTCTGCAGTGGGCGGGGGATCCCAGCTGACTATGACATCGTAACTTAGTCCGGAGGGACTTACGTTCAGCAGGGTCCAGTTTAGAGCCATGGGTGGGTCAGGATGAACTATGAAAAAGACAAAAGTTCACATGTAAACAGAGCTTTACTATTTTACTTGAAGTAGCTCTTAACACTGATTCATTGCTTAATAAATTATACGAGTTTTAATGATGCAATTCACAATGGACAAGGTTCCAAACATATAGTATACTCTAAGTGCACATTCACCAATACAATATGTTCTGTGTGCAATGCTTTATTTTAACATGAAACAGGTGCAAAGAAGATTTAGCAAAACTGTAGAACCTTCATTAAAGATTTACACAGTTCCAAGGGTTTCAAAAGTTTTTGCAGCTTATAAAGTTTTTGTTTTTTAAAATTTCATATATATATTTTAACTGTTTATTTTAACATCTACATTTAGTCCCTGGCTGTCTTGGATCACAATTTAATTCTGTGTTGCATTGATCCTAAAAGACTGCTTTGATTTTTACTGACAGAAGCAGCATTTGTTGATCCATGTGATTTTGGACGCTCACATGGAGAACTCGAACGTCCCAACAAAACACAGTCTGTGATTTGGAAGCGCAGTCTTTTTTTGTCCAGTTTGATGGATCTGGTCTTCATTTAGATAAACGCTGTCTGCCAGACATTAGACAAGCACATCTTCTTTTACTGGGATTAAGCAACTGCTTTTGATTTGTCTGTTTAGAACATGAAATTCCAAAATGTTCTGGTATTTGCCTTTTTCATCAACTACAGACAAAAAGTAGCTTGTTCTAAGCATGTTTACCTTCCCTCTAATACAGCCCCAAAAACATCTTTCTGACTAAAAATGTTACCTGTACATGTGATTAAAATTTTAGACATTAGAGACTTACGGTAATTTTGCATCAGTTACTGTTCTAGTAAATTTGCAGACATGTTGTCAATTATTTGTTAAATTTGAAATACAGTACAGTAGTCCCTCGCTACTTCATGGTTCTTTTTTCGCGGACTCTCTCTATCGTGGATTTTCAAAATAAGATTGGACATGACACACAATTGGCTGATTGATGGATGAGCCATATAATCGGCATGGGATTTTTGTTTAAAAAATAGATTATTTTAAATTATTTAGCACCTGCGTGCAGCCCACACTGCAGGAGAAGCTCCCTCCTGCAGCGTGTCCTGATCGCCGCTCTGCAGCGGAGAAGTGGGCGTGGCCGAGAACGTTGGCAGCTGAAATCATGACATTCTGTGCTCTTTTAGAGCGTTTCCCCAAAATGCCTCCCGGGCGCTTTCAATAGCTGCCCACTGCACCACCTGGTGGTGGATGGGTTAAATGCAGAGACTAATTTTGCCATTGTATGGAAACATACAGTGCTGACATTGTGATGACATTATTATTATTATTAGAAACATTGTTTAGAATATTGCAAGAGTGTGGGAAGGGTTTAAAATGCCTTAACATATACTGTATATACACACAACTTGTACTACTAATCCTACTTGGTGTTATTTCACTTATCGCAGGGCTTCAGGGTTCAGATCCCCCACGATAAACGAGGGACTACTATATATAACATATTTTTTCTATTGAAAAACAAAACCATTTTTGAATATTTCAAGATCATTTGAAAGATTGCCGGACTTAAAGGCATCAATAATCACTTCTCCTGAAGCACTTAAGGGAGTCATTTAGACGTTAGAGGTTTGACTCAGGCGCCTGCTTGCTCAGCTGTGTCCTCAGTTTTAATGGGATGAACTGACTCTTTGAGGTAGTTATGCTAGCACAAATCTTTACTACTAACCAATATTTTCCACAGTGAAACAGTCTTCTTCGTTGAAATAGGTGATGTTGTTTTGGCCGCGAAGCTGCACACAGTAGGGTGTCCAAACGGCCGTGTGGTTTGTGTCAAAGAAGCACTCCCTGTTCGGATGGTTGTACTCAGGACATTCCTTCCATTCACTACTGGGAGATCTGAAAGATTGCGGGAAAAAAGAAAAAAAGGGACTGTGAAGCAAAAGTCACGGTTCATTATATGCTGAGCGCTGATTTTTAGCTCACTCTTTCTTCAGGTAAAACATTCTGAGTGCTCCAGGAGAGGACAGGTTGTGGAAGGCGCCTGGACTCCACCAACAGCGAAACGTCGCCTGGTCTCTTGATACGCACCCTATGAAATGCGGCTCAGCGGGAGCTGGAAATCAGACGGCGAGAAAAATTAAACTATTAGGAATAATAAAAGGAGAAGAACTCGTGCAACGTCATTCATCTTTTGTAACATTCATCAAGTCCTGTCAGGGCTTAAATTGTTCAGCGTTAAAATACATCAGTTTGATGGCAGATTTAACTCGACAATCACTCAGAGAGGGGAAAAAGGATACAACAGAGCAAAAATAAAAATGTCATTTAAAAGTCCTGGGTGATGGCTTGGACATTATTATGTGCACATTTTTGTAGCATGCTTAAATTCATACATTTTTATTGCATTTACATAGTAGAAGACAATTCACCACACCTGCTTTCATTTGTTCCCATTTACTTTTAACCTGTAATCCTTTTGCATAAGCATTGGAATGACATTGCAGTAATGGAAAGCGTAGCCTGCCTGTAAGTGATGAGAGGCATAAAATAGTAAGAGACTGCTGTCAGAGGGTAAGGATTACTTGCAGGGGACACACACTTGTGCTAACCGGCGTGGATCTCCATGTAAACGCGTAGCAGGAAACAAAAAACGTTGCTTCACGAGTCGTCATTTATAGTTTCAGCAACCAACCCTAAGATCTACCCTCACAGACGCGGAGGTCCTGACTCAGCCTTTTTTGACTCCCCCTCGGCACCTCGTCACTCCTCACCAGCCCTCCCCCTCTCCTTTCAGAGACCAGTACATCCAGCACAGAGTTCAGGAGTTTGGTGCAACCATAAATAATCAACTGAGTGTATCATTGATTTCTGTTCTGCTCGCTCCCTCTGTTCTTTTCTTCTCACTGAGGGCTGCGTCATAAATCACAAACGCACCCGGACCGTCGACATAAATATAAAGACTTATCTACTAAAAAAGAAGTTTACCTCTATTGTTTTTTTTAGGAGGAAATACACATAAAACAAGGCAAAACACTTATTTGAAGACTACAAAATCTCCCTTTAAAGATCCTAGCTGAACATACAGACAATTCAGTCCACAGCCGCCAAACCAAACAATCTGCTAAATCAAATAAATGTTCTAATTACTTGTTCACCATTCTGTTTAATGCCAATATAACCTTATAATTTTCTACTGTCCTACACAAAAGTAGCTTTCCTCCCTAATTCTGCCCAGACGCGCTGTCATGTTTCCAAGAGCTTTTCAACTCAGCCTCCCTCCCCATCCTACAAGTTCCAGCAGCCACCAGGTCTCTGCAGGAGTATATACAGTATGAAACAGACTGCTTAATGCTACAGCCTGACAGGTCAGATTGTACTAAGTGTTTATATTAGGGATGCACGATATTATCAGTGTGGTATTGGTATCGGCCAATATTAGCGATAAAGTTAAATATCGGACATCGACCATTCCATTAAAATAACTCACCAATATAAATGGCACTGTTTTTGTATGACAACCCCGTGACAAGGATGTCTGCAGTGCCAGCACATCGTTATGACATCACACCATCCAATCCAAGTTGAAGTGTTACATAATTTTCAGCCCCCTTTTTGGCATCTACATTTGGTAGCAGGCCAAATTGACAAAGACCATGCAGAATAATGTAATATTTTAATTCCACAGCAGAGAAAGCTATGTAGTCTCTCTGTAAGTAGGTCTTGGGAAAAAAATATATTGGTATTTGTATCGGTTATCGACCAAATAAGTTTTAACATATCGGCATATCGGCCAAAAATCTAATATCATGCATCGCTAGTTTACATGCATTGTAGGGTTTAGGGTTTTATTGCATGATGACAGACAATTTTAAGGTCACGCAAATAACCTGTTTTTCTAAAAAAAATTAAAAAAAAATCTCTCACCAGGTTTTTACATGCAAGTACTGTCATCATTTGATACAAGTATTAATGTCTTGAAGTTTGAAACCATCTTCTTGAGACTTTCATGTTACAGCTGTTGCTGTCATGTAGGTGGACATATTTCAAGGCAAACACACCATGTTTTGAAAGTTAACCTATGAGAGGCCAAAGGTCAAAAGGTGCCATGTGTTTTTCAAAACCCGTTTACATTCTTCAGCTCAGCTGATTGTTATTGAGACCTGAAGTGTGTCAGGTTGTGTAGAGATACCTGGGGTGACTAATATATGATTCCCAGTTATTTTCCACCTGTAGATCTCCTCTAGACTGAAACTCAAAGCAATCTTTCTTTCATTCAACCTTTATTTATAGAGGTTTATCCCACTGAGCCTCGAGGACCCATTTTCAAGAGAGACCTGAGTTTAACAAAGAGTGATGACAACAGTCAGTAGACAACAATGACAACAATAGACAATCATAAAAGAAGCATGCAAGTTGAGAAAAATAAGTGAAAGGAAATGGAATTAAAAATGAAACAAAACAAACAAATGAAAAACAGCTAGATTATAAGGCAATGTAGAAAACTAAAAACAGGAACATGTCTGTATTGGTTTTTGCCAGGAGCTTAGCAGATGTTTGAAGCCACTTAGAGAGGTAAAGGTCGAGAGCTTCAGATCTTATTGTAAGATATTCCAGAAAACAGGAGTGGAGTAGGAGAAGATCCCTTTGTCTAGTTCAGTCCAGATATCACTGTGCGAGAGGCGAGGAACACGCTGGACAGGTCTCCAGTCCATCACAGGACACATAGAGACAAACGAGACAAACAACCATTCACTCTCTCACTCACACCTAGGGACAATTTAGAGTTACCAATCAGCCTAACATGCATGTTTTTGATCTGTGGGAGGAAACCTGAGTACCCGGAGAAAATCCACACATGAACGGAGAGAACACGCAAACTCCACCCAGAAAGGTCCCAGGCCGGGAATTGAACAGGCAACATTCTCGCTGAGAGGCAACAGCTCTACAACTGCGCCACCGTGCTGCCCAGAGTCTGTTGTAGGAAGCTAAATTCTGTCTGCTACCACTAAATGATCTGCAGCCCAAGGCAAACAACGCTAGTTTTCTGCACGAGTGTGTGCGTGCACTCTCTTATCCTGTCTCTCCATGTGCACCTGTCCTTGTGAGCACTGTGTGCTGCTCAAACCGATAAACAGCTCTTAGCATCGCATCCATCCATCATCGGATAGTGCAGAGGAGCCGGGAAACCGTCCATCTCCATGTCTACTTTGGCCATTAACACATAAAATCTAGTAGAAAGCCCAAATTAGCCTTCACACCAACTGGTAAACAGCTCTAAAAAGGTGGCAAAGGTGGCAACCTGGACTTATTAGTTACCCTATTGTGAAAGGTTTGACTAATGAGGAGCAAAACAGACTATGATGATAAGAATCGCCTGCTTTTCCACCTCATTAGCAGAAATGAGTTAACCCTAACAGACTGCCATCCTTGAAAAGGTGGCAGAAGAAAAGACAAGATGTAAACTAAACAATATTATGAAACAAAAAGCAAATGTCATAAATACTAAATGTAAGCAAGAATGGTGTTAAAAAAAACATAGACAAAAAAAAAAAAAAAGTCAGTGAGAACAAGTCTGTCATGAAATGACAAACAAGTATCAGATGAAATAAAGCTCCAGATGGTAAAAAGTATGTTGCTCAGTCAGAGATTAAAACCAGAGGATCTGATTTGTTTATATGTTTCACTTCCAAAGCTCTGGTAAAGAAGTTTATTTGTGCATCATCTTGTTTATTATGCATTAAAAACTGGATCTGCTGGAAGACATTTTACCAACAGATTTCTTGACATTGTCTGCCAAACTGCATTGCTCCTCAGAGTCGTCTACATTTGGGACATTTGGACTTTACCTTCTACATAAACTCTAATAAAATCAGACAAACAGACTTAAAGCCTTTTATATTACACACCAACAGGTGTTTTTCAGATGCTCTAATCCCCTAAAGTGTATGAATTTCTGTCACATCTGTAACAAGTTTATAATGAGAAAACGTGTTTTCATTCTACCTTTCTGAAAGTAAAGATATTTATGCAATTCTCTAAAACATAAGACTGGAAGTGTCTTTGACAAGCTAAACTTCATACATAAATTCAAAAACCTAACCCTATCAATGAAAAAAAAAACAAGCAATCAAGGAGTAAATCTACAGGAAAGGGTTAAGGCCACGATGCAAAATTACCGGTACTTTTTTCCCCATTCAGTTCTGACTTTTTTGTTCAGAATTCCGACTTTAATCTCAGAATTATGAGATTAAAGTCAGAATTCAAGGAAAATATTTATTTGCACAGTGTCTCTAATCCTGTTTCGTACACGTCTGACTGACTTAAACTGAAATCTGTTTGCCTACTGTAAGAAACGTATTGCATTTAGGCTTGTTGTATGATCTATTCTTGCACAGTCAATGTACATTCAACAAACATTTATACTTTTTTGGCGGTTTTGCTTTGAGGGAAAATCTAGTGTAAAATTTTATTTTCGACAAAAAATATTGTGTATTGTCAATGTTCTTGACAGAAATGTGAGTTGGACATCACGAATGCACAAATTTAGGCACTTGAAGCAGCAATATACTAATAATAAAATAAAAGATAAAATTGCATGTTCTTTGTATTGTTAATTAACTGCCACGAGACAAGGACCAGTGGAGTGTTCACAGCTATAGGAGTGAGGTAACTTGAGGTTTTGCAACAAGTTGTGTGCTGCTGCAGATAAACTCACTGTCAGACTGATAAAATGTCAGGACTCCCAAGAACCCTCACATGAACTGGCAAATTAAAACATTACAAAACTATTAAAATTAGCATGTTTTTAATATCGCTGACACATTTGTGCTGCTTTAAATAAAAAGAAACAAATGCATGCAAAATATCTGAAATACCCCGGTACTTCCTCTGTTGGGTTTGTTCAACATGTTTAGGCTTCCCTCAGCTTCTTCATCACTGTTGGTTCTTAGCGTAACTGGATTAGTTAACTTATACTGGTCAAATGAACTAACATATTTTATTTTTACCCGTTTTTAATCTCTGGCTGTTTTCTTCAGATTTTCCTACACTCCTAAGACTGACACAAATAACACAAACTATGCATCCATCATCTTTATCCTCTTTGGGTCGCAG